GAGCGGCGGGGCCGGCCCGGGGCTGGCCCGGGACTAACCGGGGCTAACCGGGTGTGTCCGCAGAGCGCTGCGCAGCCGAGCCCCGGCAGGAGCGGGAGGCGGCCGGGCAGGAGCTCCCCCCGGGCCCCGCACAAAGCCCCTGGGCCCTGGAGGACATCCTGGGCGAGGAGGACGAGCAGGACCGCGTCCCGCCGCAGAAACTGCAGCTCCTGGGTAATTGGGGGAAGCGAGCAGGAGCGAATCCTGCAGGGAGCTGCAGCTTACCCCGGCCCCCAAAGCGTCCCGAGCTCCCTCTGTCCCTCTGGAGGTTGGTTTGCAGGGCAGGGCTGGCCTCAGGCCCGTCTGCAGCTCTGGGCTTGCCCCCGGTACAGGAGAATCAGCGGAGCTGAGGGATTTGCTGCGGAACCCCCACCTGCGGCAGCTGCTGCTCACCCTCAACCAGGCTCGGGACAAAAGCTCCCTCCTGAGGAAGCTCATGCAGGAGCCCCTGTTCGTGGAGTTTGCCGACTGCTGCCTGAGCATTGTGGAGCCCCCCGAGGAGAAGGAGAACGTTCTCCCCGACTGAGCTGCTCTGGGAATGGGGTTTTTTTTTGTCCTGCAGGAGCCAGAGCTGCTGCACTGTGTCCTGGCCACTTTGCCCGTGGGTGTCAGTGCTCTGATCTCAGTTTGGAGCTGACAAACTGGGGCAGGGGTGTGTTGGGACACGTTTTTAGATCCTGGGGGTTGAACTTGACACTCTCTGGACTTCTTTCCGTTGGCACAGAAATACTGGCAGCCACGGGAAATGTTGCTTCACAGTGACCATATTAAATATATTTGCATTTATTTTAATCTACAAGTACTCTGAAATGTTTCTGTTCACTGAAGGTTGTTGGGAAGGGTCAGACACCTTGACAAGGCATTGAGCAGTTTATTTTAGATGACATACACAGAGCAGCTGAACATTTTCAAGATCCATGAGCAATAAAGGGAGGGTACAGAGCACCCCTGGGCAGGGTGGTGCTGTTTGGGGAGCTCTGCAGACACCTGGCAGCTGTGAGAGCTCACAAATTTTGGTCCTGTAGATAAAAACAAGAGCCCAGCCTTGCTTTTCCCTGAGACATCTGCCCTTAGTGCTGCAGCTGGCTGCTCCTCACTCCCTTGGGGACACTTGTGGTCGGTCAGGACGGTTGCACCTCTGAGAATCCAGCAGGAATCAGGAATATTTATTTGCATTATTTGCTCTCTGACGAGCAGCCTCTGGCTCACACAGGCAGTGCCAGCAGCGTTCAGTTCAAGTATTCATTGCTTCAAGCACCTGATCTGTTGGAATTGATTTGTTCCCATAGTGTTGATATTTCCTGTAAAGTGGGGGGGGAGGAGCTGCCCCACACACTCTGAAGTTAATTTAATATGTATTATTATCACGTGTGTTATGCTGAATTAGCCATCACGTTGTACGTACGAGGCAGCGCTGTGGAAGCTCTGAGGTAGCAGCAGAAGTGGATGCTGAGTGATTTGAAAGCAGCAGCTTGCAGAACCCTCCCTGGAGGGCAAGGCCAGGGGGCAGAGCTAAGTGGGCAGCAGCTCCTCTCTGTCCAGCAGGATCTGGTTGAATCCCGTGACTGAAAACGCCTTGGTGTGGGGGCTGACGTTGGCAAAATGCAGGGGGGACCTCCTGAAGTGGAACTTGACAGAGCCCTGCAAGGAAGGACAAGAGGGGGAGAGTTTTCAGCCAGATGTGCAGCTGATTGTGGTATTCACTTTTATATCTTGAGTATGTGAACCACTGGTGGATGAGGACAAAGGAGCTCCTCCAGAGGAGTTCAGTACAAATGGATTTAAGAGAAATGGTCACTAAAAAATGTGATTTGAACTGCAATCAGCTCAAACTCTGGAGGTTAGAGTGCTCAGCACAGTTTGCAGTAGCTGTGACAGTTCCTGCACACAGAATCTGATGCCAACACAAAAATGTTCCCCCCACCAGACCCAAGGGTGATTTGTAGCTGCAGTTTCTGAGGGGAGGCAGTGCCTGTGGCTGCTGGGAAATGCTGTCCCAGCCTATTCCCAAGCTGTGGCAGGTGCTGCAGACAGGAGGGAGGGGTCAGTACCTGTGGGAGGGCTCTGATGGAGGCGATGCTACAGCCCAGGTCCTCCCTGGAGCCCTCCTGCAGCCCCCTGAGGCAGCTGAGCAGCGCCAGCGCCGGCCGCAGCCCCAGCACACTGACAGGGGCAGCAGCCAGCGCCAGGCCCAGGGGCCAGAGCTGCACAACTGCCTCCAGAGGCCACGTTGTGTCCAAAGAACAGGGAGCTTTAGCCAAGGTAGTTCCAGGAGCTGGGAACTCCTTTCCTTCCCCCTCATCCAGCTCTGCTGCTGCCAACGCGGCCGCTTTTGCCTGCAATAGACACAGAACAACAATATTCTCAAATGTCCTGGACACAACTTAGGAGTGCAAAACTGAGGCTAAAAAAGAGGGAGTCTGGAAGGACAGCACACCCCAATTTCCATGCAGGTAAGGAATGAGTTTGTTCTGCAGGATGACCCAGAAGCAGCTGTACAGGACTGGCATCTCCTCTGCTCTTCAGCTGGAGAGTTTTCTGCAGCACTGGGTTTGTAGTTCTCAGACTTTTTTTCACACTCCAAAAAGCCTCAGGCTCCATTTCAGTGCTGTCCTGTGCCCCATACTCACCTTCCATTTCCTCCAGCCACGCTGGATGACGCTGACAGCCTTGCGCACCCTCTGGAAGCGCCTCTTGGCCAGCCAGGAGCGAACAGCTGAGGATTGAACGGAGAGAAACCTGAGTGCAGAGAATCTCAGCAGCTCTCACACACATTGTGAGAGATGGCCCTTACCCACTCGTGCCTCTGTAACCCCCCAGTGTGACTGGAACTGTCCCTTGCTGTCATTTCAGCTCCACCCTTAGCAAGTCACCTGCTTGGATGAGAGCTGCAGAGCGTTTCTTCTTTGCTGTTTTTTTCTCTTTAAATCTTCTCCAACAGCACTGGATGCAAAATGCCTTCTCATTTAACACCTCTGTTCTCCTGGCTTCCAGGAGCTCCAGCTGCAGTGGGGAACAGGAGCCTGGAGTTAGGGATGGAATTGTGCAGCCTCTTGGTGTTTGTCAGGGGACCACAGCCTCATTCCAGCATCCTTTGACTGCTGGATTAGGTTTGGGAAGTGCCAGCACTTCATCAGTGCTTCTTTGGGAACATGGAAATGAAATTGAAGTTCTTGGGGAGGAAAGTGGAGCCTCCCACAGTCCCAGCAGCAGCAGGCTCATACCCAGCTCCCCTGAAGGGGCTGCTTCCAGGGCTGCATCCTGCAAGCCTGGCAGAAGTGCCTTTGTCTCCTTCCTCCCTTTCCCCAGGAACCTGTATAGGCCTGCTGGAGCAGCCAAATCTGTCATCTGGAGCTAAGGAAAGCTGTCATCTTTACTGGAATTCTGACAATCCTAGACACAAGTGCAGCTCCTTGTCCACTGGAAACACAGAGGCCATTACACAAAGAGCCTTGCAGAGCTGGATTCTGATGGGTGCTTGATTGAGTTTAAGAACTGGATGGAAAATGCTCAACTCTGGTCACGCTGGCTTGGCAGGAGCACTCCAGAGCCATCAGCCAAGGAGCAGCACTTACCATGGAATTGGCCAGGAACACCTTGGTTTCACCACAGTAGACTGAGGGGATTTCTGCTCCATCCCCTGTTTCCTGAGCAGGTGTTTGTTCCCTAACAGCATCCTGAAGGATCTCCAGAACAGCAGCACGTGGTGCTTTGTCATCATCCATCACTGGAATCTCACCTGGAAGTGAAGCATTGAGGAGAAGGCAAAATTTAGAAATCAGGGCCAGGGAATTGCCTTTGCCCTGAGACTTCTTGACCATTTAGAGGGGAAACACCTGCAGCAAGAGGGGAGGAGGAGATGGCTGGGGGCCCTTGATCTTGCTGTGTTTAAGGCTAAAATGAGACAGGTGCCAGCAACCAGAAAACCAGTGTGGGGTGTTTGAACTGGGCTGTGGTTGGGTGCTGCCTTCTCATCTGTTATCACCTCTGTTCTCCACAGGTAAAATTGTCATTTGGGTAGATCTAGAATGAAACAGAGGGCTCAGGTGTTCTCCCATTCCAAGCATCCTACATGAAGCAGGAGAAAGCAGCAGCAGTGTAATTAAGAATAGACTGAACAGCTGAGTCCTAAGAAAATCACATTAAATACTCAAAACTCAAAGCTGTGGGAGCAAAGACCAAAAGGCAGGGAATTGTAGCCTTAATGTACTGAAAAGTGCAGGAAGGGGAAACAAATTCTACACAATTGTACAGCTGTCACAGGGCACTGAGAGCAGCTACGGGGTCCTGTACTGAGCAGGAATTTATGGCAGCAATTACAGGTTATTAAAGCCATTTCTGGGACACAGTGCACAATTTTCTACGTTACAAACAGGTCAGCCAGATGAATCTCTTTGGAAATAGAGATAGACTTAATTCAGACCTGGAACAAGAGACTGTTGCAGGAGTTCCTGCATGCACAGGGCTGGATGGGTTTTGCATCATTCCATCCTGGATACTGTTTGCTTTTCTGCTATAAATATTTCTAAGGAGATGAGAGCATTTTAAGGTCCTGAAAACAAATAGAAGCAATTCTTGCTTACAGGAAGACATCTGGTGGCTCTGATGGTGTTCATGGGGCTGGGCTGATAAGGGAACCAAAAGCTTATTCCTGTGTTTGGGCAATTGTTTTGCTTTGTTTGCAGCTTATTGCCCCCTCGAGATAAAAAGGACTAAAAACCTATCACAAAGAGGCTTTGCAGGTAATGGGTTTGTAACTGAGGGGGAAAGATCCAATGTGTAAGTAATTTTCCAGCCTGCACTTCCTTACTTCACCCCACTTCCACATAGTGAGGAGATTCCCACCAATTTTACTCTGAACAGGCTGGTCCTGCTTCCCACAGCTGCTGTTTATTGACCAGACCCACTGGGTGAAGAGGGGATTCATTTGGGGGACAGAAAGCGTCTGCAGTAACCTTCAGTATTAAATGTAACCACCTGATGAGCTCCTCCTCTCAGGAGTTCATAGCAAAGGCATTACCTGTAGGCTGGATTGTGTTTGTTAAAGTCCATCCTCAGTTAGAAAAAGAGAAGTTGGCAAAAGGTGGAAGAAGCAGCAGAGTCCAGGTAAGCTGGAAGGTCAGTGATTCAGCAAAGAAACAGGGGGGGTGGGGGAAGAAAGGAAGGAGAAGGAAAATAAGGCAAAAGATAAGTGGTTTTCAAGTCTACTAAAGAATCAACTCTAAATCAAATTATATTGGGTGAGGGGAACCCCAGACACCACTGTAAGTGTGATTGTTCCACCCAGGAGGAACACAGAAAACCAGCATAGAGGGGAAAGATTTTAAGTGTTAAGCAAATTAGAAACTCAGGTTGGTGACAGGTTAAAGAAGTATTTTGAGAATAGTGGTGAATACAGTAATTATCTGATCTGTGTGATACCAAATGGGCACAGGGACAATTTTACTTGATGGCAGAGGGATTACGTGTAGAAACTCACCTTTTTTCTCAGCAGGATGAAAGTTACTTTTATCCCACACTCTCTTTTTACTGGAGCCCCAGGATTTTCTCAGTAGTTCATAGCGCTCAGTGAAACTTTGGAAAGGGATCCTGAGAGACAAATGTGCAGTCAATTCCAGGCAAGAATCATTACTGTGAATAACTGATCCTTTTTGCTGTATGGTAAATAACTGATCCTTTGAAGGGGGAAAATTCCAGAATGGCTCTGTGGATCCAGTATGTGGGATGCAAACAGACTGATGTCTAAATGATTAAACAGGCCAGAAAGTACAGAAATTCTGAAGAAATTCAGGTTTCCCAGTAACAGTGATTGTAGCAAAGCCTGGGCAGGAATTCTGCTTGGATATGCTGCTGATGGTGCAAAATATTTGTGTTTCTTGCTTATAAGCTCTTCTGAATAACTAAATGCCACCAATTGCTATAGAAAAAGATTATGCTGAAGAAGCTGGACTTACCTGACTGGGAAACCTGCTGCACTGATGCTGATGGCTTCCACTATTCCACAGGCCTGGAGCTGGCTGAGAACCTGAGGCACAGATTGAGATGGTTTAGGCAACACTGACTTTTGTGGAAGCTGCTCCTTGTGTGCCCTGTCCTGGGCATCCACAGCCAGCAGTGCCCAAACCCAGCAGGGTGTGAACAGCCAGGGTTGGTATTTCCATGCTCAGCAGATTCCATGGCTGTTTAAAGCCTGACTGCCCATCAGATGTGGTTCTCTAGTTACAGCTTTAGCATCTGCTGCTCTGCTCCCAAAGCTTCTCAGCCTCCTGAACTCCAGCAGCAAGCAGAGTTTTGTTTTGAAGGTATTTGTGTGCCCAGGGCTGCTCAGATCATCTCCACCTGTTTGAAGGGCTGTGAGGGCAGCAGCCCAAATCACCCCAGCAACAAGCAAAGTGCAGCTGGAAGAGCTTCTGTGCTTAGGAGCTGTTTTAGACAAGCACCTCAGTGACTCTGAAAGGGTGTTTATCTCAAAGGAGAAAGAGCTGCTTCAAAATGTGCCAAGGAAAGAGCTTTGCAAGTCACTCAAGATCCTAAGAAACCCAGAGGAAAGCCCTGGGGAAAGGCTTTGGAAAAGTTACCTCTTCTCTCCTGAAAGTCATGGCCTTGCAGTCAGCATTAGGCTTGATGCAGCGGATGTAATGGGGTGTGGTTCTGCTCAAAATCTCCATCAGGTGTTCCAGGGAGCTCTGCAGGACACAAACACAGGGTTCATCAGGGCTCTTCCTCCTCAGGGATCTTCCATCCACCCCATGAAGCTGCTCTTGGCAAAGATCTCTTTATAGACTCAGTGTTGGAGCACTTCTACAGGACAGCTTGAGCAAAAAATCCACTCTGTGGATGCCTTCATCAAACCCAGAAAGTTTCCAAAATTACAGCAGAAACCTGAATAGGATGTACCTTGAACTTGGACACCACTGTAACAACAGCTGCTCTGTTCTGGGTTTTGGTGTTATTTTGGTTCTTTTCTGTCACAGGAAATAATTTTTGAAGCAAAGGATCCTTTGAGTTCTGCAAAACGTGGACCAGCTCTGGTGGAACAGCATCCTGCAAACAGACATGACCTGTCAGTATCTGGACCTGGCAGGCACCTGAACCCCTGAAAATAAGAATTCCACATATAGAGATAGAACAGCATTTCTGATGCCAAATTTGATGTGACCACAGCTGCAGTTTCAAATCTGATGATGTGCATTCATTCATAGACAGATTTAGGAACAGAAAAAAATGTTTGGCTGAACATTCAGCAAATCCAGTCAAATGTACAACTGCTCCCAACACTGTTCTTGTTACACAGCCTAAGAAAGCTCCTACTCTCAGGACTGGCTTAATCCCTGAAGGACAGACTGCAGAAGACATCAGAAATATTACTTTGAATTAAGAGATGGTGTTTTATTGCTAAATAAATACTAGCACTTGCCATAATTGCTGGGGATGTCAGAGCTGAGAAGGGAGCCTCCTCTCTGCAGACTAGTTCACATTTCAATTATTCCCTGATGGCCAAAATTTGAGTGCTTGCAGCACTTTCAGTAGTTAAGCTCATGTTCTTGTTTCTCATAAATTTGTCTGATTTTTTTTGGGAATTAAGTGCTGTATTTCTAGCTATAAAAATGCCCTGATGCCATTAACAATTCTGCATCCCCCAGGAATGGAGGAAGCCCTGATTTGGTGATGGTTCACTTCAACCTCAGCTCTGAGGTGTAACAAAGCATCTGCCTGTGCCAGTGGTGGTTCAGAGAATCACACCAAGAACATCACCCAGTTTTACATGGCCTGAAGGATTTATTTGCAGCAAGGTATGTGCAGGACCCAGCACTGAACATATTTGTCAGTGGGGCTTTGATTTAAACCCTAACCCTGAACATATTTGTCAGTGGGGCTTTGATTTAAATCGCTTTAGGTCTGTAAGATACTTTTAAGATTTTTTTAAACAGCTCTTTCTGCAAGCACCTACCTTATTTTTCTCCACCATTGCTGCCAGATGATAGCAGACTTTGCCAGCATAATGGGAAATGATAAAGTTGGGCTTCTTACTGAACTTATCTCGACTTAAACACTGATTACTGGACAAGGCTTTCTCAATCCTGGTTTGGAACAGGTCAGTGTTGGAGGGTCTGTTCAGACGACACTCCTGCAAAGGACACACAATTGCAGCATCTCTGATTTGTCCCAAAGAACTGATTCTAAAAGCTACAACATTTAAAATTCAAATCGTAGCAGTATTACCTTTAGAGCTGCTTTGAGTATGCAAGGCCTGAAACATTGGGAAGGAAGAGGGGGAGAGAAGTAATTGAGGCTTCATATTTGAATCAGAACATGGATCAGAGGGAAAAAGACAACTCAGAACAGGAGGAAGCAGTGGCATGACTTTTCTGAAACTGAAGCCCTGCAGACATTTTATAGCTGTCAGGTTTTCTATTAATTTACTGTTTGTGTTTTCTTTGGTGGTGTGGGACAAAGGCAGGAAACTGGGCCCAAGAAACGAAGGGTTTAAATCACACTTACCTCATTCAGCAAGGAAAAAATGCTGAGGGGATTTCCCTCTATCAGATCAAGGCAGTTCTGGTTATCCTTGTAGTTTATGAATGACCACTGCAGGCCTTCAGCTACATATTCTTCCTGAAGGAAGAGGGAAGGGGTTATTCTGCAGCAGAGGGCACCAGAGCTCAGAACTCTGTGCCTTGGGCAGCTGATCCAGGTCCTGTTTGAGGAGTTAATCCCAGCTCAGCTCCAGATCAACACCAAGCTTGAGAAAAAAAACCCCACGCGAGGATATTCTACTCCAGGTAGCTTTTGGGTGTGGATCAGAACCTGCTGGAACAATTTGTCTGAGGATTTGGGAGCCTCATGGATTTATCAGAGTGAGCTGCAAGGCTGCTTTAGAGAGCAAACAAAGGCCACAGTCACACAAAGCCTCTCCTGGCTGTGCTGAGATTTTCCCTGAAGGACAAGGAACAAGCAGAACTCCTTCCTTGGACTGGGACACAGCCCCAACCCAACCTTTGTGTGCCAGACTTCACTAACTGGGCTCCATTTAAAGCAAAGCCTGATCTGAAAGGAAGTGCAGAGAGATACTGGGTTGGAATAATTGGTACAATATTTATGCTGAATTACAGGACAAACTGTCAGCAGTGTTTAACAAGCACAAGCTCTGGGCAGTTATTTGAAAAGCCTCCTGCCAAAAGCTTGCTCAGCACAGCCACTAATGGCATTTAAGTGGTTTGGGGGACAGCCAGATCCAGAGGTAAGAGGGCAGGCAGTGCGTGGGAGGGGTGCTATAAACAGAGGTCATGGAGCTGTTTCAAGCAAAGCAATTGTGTGCTTGAACTTGCTTTCCATCTTCCCTGACCATTAACCCCTGGCATGCTGACCAGGGCAGGCAGGGAAATCAGCCTGGCAATAGCAAAAGCATAAATTGCAGTCAAAGAAATACTTATCTCCTGAATAAATTGACAAAAGCCTGCTGTGAGGTAGGAGGTGCCAGCACACTGGTGCCATAAAGAAAATAATTTCCCTGATTCCAGTTAATGGCAAAGAGCATTTTGGTAATGGATCTGCAGTGGGGAGGGCTAGAGCAGCAGCCCTGGCAGGGACTCTGCACCTTGCAGGGCACTCAGATGAGAGCTGGAATTAGCAGTGCGTGACCAGTGAGGGACTGCATGGTGCAAAAAAACCTTCTCTGTTGTGAAACAACACCATCTATGTACCTTCTTAAGCAAAACGAAAAGCTGGTGCACACTGGGGTTTGTTTTAAAGGCAGCAGCATGACTGGGAGCTGTGTCCTGTGGTCCCACGTGCTCAGGAGTTTGGGTGACAGGGTCCTGGTGGACCTTGCCTTCACACCAAGCTCAGCCTGGAACCTCCCCATTCTTTAGGGACTTTATGCTTAATGGCTGTAAGCAGAAACTTCCAAGAGAATCTCAAGTCAGGCTGCACTTACCCCAAGAATTTAGTCTCAAGTGTTCAGCTCTTTGAGGAAAAGCAAACAGCCTGACAGGCAGAGATCCAATGGATTTCCAGTCCCCAAGAGACAAAGCTGTGTCATTCCAACTGCCCCACACTCCCCTCTTTGCAAAACCACTGCTCCCTCCCACTGCTTTCTGTGGCATTGCTGAAGGTTCCATCTGACCATGGGCACAGCAATGCAATTAAAGTGACAAAAAGATGCTGTTTTAAATCAGATATTGAAGATTTGATCTTCAGTTTGGGGTATTACCTGCTGTGCCTTCAGGTAGTGAGCTACAAAGTGCTGCTGCAGTTTCTCGTTGGCATAATTAATACAGAGCTGCTCCAAGTTGTTTTCAGGGAAAGCTTCAAACCCATAAACATCCAACAAACCTGGAAGGAACGTGGGAGGACAGAGCTTTAGTTTAGGAGCAGCTTGGAGGGCTGCTGGCCCCTGAGTTAAACCAGGGTGGTATATCCATACCTATAAAGCTGGTCCATATGGAGGGATCTGTGTAGATGTTTTCATTTATCACCAAAACCAGCCACTCAAACAACCTGCAGACAGCAACAAGGGGATTAGCTGGAAGCTGCTTGCTTGCAATAATCAGAATTGTTTTCTTTACTGCTGTTTCCATCAGTGTCACTTGGAAGGAAGAGGAATTTCTGATGTGCTGCCACGAAACAGAGCAAATCCCTCTGGCCTCCCCATCCCCTCCCAAAAGCCACCTGGATTAGCACATCGTTACCTGGCATAGATGACTTTGGCCAGGCAGTCCCTCCTGGTCTCACACTCAGCTCTGGAGCATGGCTTCTTGAACACTTGCTGCTGTTTTCCAGCAGTGATTGTTCGAATCCTTAAAGATTCCAGGAGTTCCTCGATGGGAATCTGGAGCAGATCCCCCGTGGTCTTCACAAACTCTTGTTCAGGAGAACAAACAGTGCAAGGTTACCTGGTGTGTTCATGCCTCTGAAGGTATGGGAGGTCTAGAGACTGTGTAGAAAAATGCCACTTCCATCAGCTCTCCAACTCAAATGTGGATTTTGGATCTTTCTACCCAAACTCAGGAGCAAGTTTTACAAAACCCCAGGGTCTTAATTTGGGTGTAGAGTGCCCCCAGAATTTTGGGGCCTCTCTTTAAAATGAAGGAATACCAGAAAAAGCTGAAGTTTGCCACAGTGAATTAGTTTTTCTCTCTAGGTGTGTCTTTGTTACTTGTTCACCTCTTTTGAGCAGGAACCTCAAAACCCAGACAGAAAAATCAAACAGTGATGACCAGGAAAAAAGGAATTTGGTGATAGAAAGGAAATGCAGAAGAGTATTTGCTGATAAAGAATTTAGGATCTATCTCAGCTGAGCTGTATTCAAAATTACTTGAATGTTAAGTAGTTTATAGTTCAGAGCATGTGAAATTGTAGCAGGAAACTTCACTGTTGAGGGCAGTTTTAGCTCTGAAGGAAATCCAGATCCAGAAGCCTATGCAGAACAACCTCTATTCATGCTGCAGTTTAACAGATTTGTTGTCACTGGTTTTGGTCTTTATCATGAAAACCTCCAAGCTTTCATGTGAAAAGCCCTGCTCTCCCTCTGGGTCAGGTTTCTGCCAGCCCTGTGATGGCAGAGTAAGATTACAATCAAGAGCCACAGTTCTGCCAATAATCCTCCTGAAATCACTGGCTAATGCTGCAGTTGCCCTGACCTGTCAGGGAAGGATATTATCTCTAAGGGCAGGGGAGCACTGGGTTTTTGTTTGTTCACAAAAACACACCTAAATTTTGGGTTGCTCATGGCCTTGATTGTTTCCTATCAGCAGGAGAGTTATTGTTCAAATTCTTTCCTTTAATAAGGAATTCTTTCTGAATTAAGTGAAGAAATTAATTTAAATTAAATAAATTTGATTTAATAATTTAAATTGCAATTAATTATACACAGTTTAAACAAATTTGTTAAACTTTAAAATTAAGTTATTAATAAAGGAATTAGAATTATTAGTAGTTAAAAGGAATTAATAATGAAAAGTAATAGTTAAAATCACTCAAGTGAAAATTTGATAGATTTAATAAATTTTAATATATTTAATAAATGTTAATAAGTAAATAAATTTAATAAGTAAATTTAAATTAACTAACTAACTAAAGGAAAGAATTCTTTCCATTCTTTCCTTTCTCTAATCCTTTCCCTTGTGAACTAACAGGCTCTGGAGCATGGCATGGTTGTTGCCTCACCTTTGGTTTTGTCTTCCAGTTCACAAGGCTGAGATTCATCCACTGGATTAGAGAATTGAACATTCCCGAGGTGCAGAAGGCCTGATAACACCTGGAATACAATCAGGCAGTTCTTCAGGACAGCTCCCCCCAAGGCAGTGTCCCCTGAGCCCTCCTTTAGCCCCAGGAACAGGCCAGTTCACAACATTCCTGCACAAAAGGCAGCAAGCAGATCCCAGACTTCTGAGTGAATCCCTAATGCTGCAATTCCTGAAGGCAAACTGAAATTCCGAGGTGCAGACTTTTAGTTCTGATCTAATATTTGGCTGTGCAGCCTGATGTGGAGCTGAGGGCCCTCCAGTGAGGAGCAGCAGCTCTGCACAGTGCCAGGGATTTATTCCAGCAGCAATCCCACCCTGGGAACTCATTCCCAACATCCTCAGCAGCCTCGTGCTGTCCCTGCTGTGTGGCTGACCTTGAAAATATTGCTCTGCGTGGCGCGGCTGATGCCCAGGTGGAACATTGCCCCTCTGGTCACCTCGAAGCAGTCCTCTGAAAAGCCAAACAGTGCTCTTGAAAAAGCCAAGCACACAAACAGGGGCAAGCAGAACATGTCAGCACATCCAATCCAGCTGGAATGGCCAGTGGAGAAGATCTTTGGGTAAATCCCACACACAGGCTGGAGAACCAGCCCAGAGGTTTTTTTCTGCCTCTGTCAAGTGAAGCACATGCAAAGACAAGACAGTTTCTAAACAAAGCCACAGAGATTCAAATTTGCCAGGCCAGAACCAGCTGTTTTAAGCCAGGTGACTGATTTTAAGCTTTAAGACTTAATAGTGCTAAGTGAAACTTAAAAAGAATCCCATTAATGCAGGTGGCTTTGCAAAACATCTGCTGTTGGCTGTCCAAGAGCTTGAACAGGATGTATTTTTGCCTGCCTCCCTTTAAAATTCCAGCCATTATTTGTGGATTGATTAATTAGTTAGTGAAACTAATCTTTACCATCTAAGTCACTTTCAGAATTTGGCAGCCAGCGGTACTCGGCCCCTTCTGGAAGGTTCCACTCCAGCCTCTCCTCTGCAGAAGCACCTTTTGTGATCTGGAGATGGAAAACAAGGTAACAATTGAATTCTGCCTTTGGTGTTTACAGCTCCCAGACAGTGAAGAATAACATACTGGGAGGATGATTTAATTTGGAAGCCTGGGAGACAGGGAAACTGGTAATTATTAAAAGTCACAACTGTGCTAAATCTGGTGATTTCATCCCCGCTGTGTGAGAAATACCCAGCAAAATTAACTGAAGGCAAACCTGATAAAAAATATGGAAGTTTCTTTCGTTGGGGGCCTGATAGGTAACTCTTGTTTTCTCCAGAAGGAAAGTCTGGATGGAAGCACCAGTCAGATGATGGAATCTAGAGAGGGAAAAAGAGCAAAGATTTCAACAAAACTTCTTCACAGAATCCAAGAGGGGTTGTGTTGTCCTGAGACCACTTGACTGTCAATGCTTTGCAGTTCACCTTCAGTTTTGTTCGTATTTTATTCGGAGTTCTTAACTACATCACTATCTTTTCATTGCTCTCTTCTAGAGATCAGGATGAGAGCTTGCAAAATAAAAAAAAAAAAAGAAAATAATAACAGCTTAAGCTGCCAGCAAACCAAAATACGCTCTAAAGACATAAAAAATTCTATGGTAATTTTCAGAAATAAGCTTTAAAGGAACAAGATAATAAAGATTTAAAGGAACAAGACAGCAGGTAAGGTCTTACACAGTAATTCTTACCTGTCTAGCTGGAGCTGGATGTATTTCCCAAACCTACTGCTGTTGTTATTCCGCAGGGTGCAGGCGTTCCCTGTGAAATTGCCAGTGGCAGACACAGAACAATCAGAGTGGTCCCACTCTGCCATGCAGCACATTCAGGTATTTAGGGTGATCTGTAAATAACTCCAGTATTTGAAGAGTTTGTTTTTAAGGAGAGGACCAAGAGATAGCTTAAACTCGTGTGGGAACAAAGGACATTCCCACAGTGGCCATTACTTTAGTTGGTTGTTAAAAAAGCCACGTTTACCAAATGCTTCCATGACAGGGTTGGAATCCAGCACTCTCCTCTCTATCCTTTCCACAGTTTTGGTGCCTTTTGGGGAAATAACTGAGGCAGCAACAGAGGCATAGAACTTCATAAGGCAGCGAGAGGTCCAGGTCTGCAAGAGAGAGATCTGACAGTAGCTCTTTGTTTTTAACATGTTATCAGTTATGTCAGTGCTGCCTTCTGGAAACAGTGTGAATCTGGAGGGGAGACTAAAGAGAGGAACTGTGTCAGGTTCAGAGCTCTGGTTCAGTGGGATCTCTGTGCCACAGACACACATTTCAGTGCTGCAGCAGTGGGAGTGCTCTGCTGAATGGCAATTCCATCGAGGTGTCGGCATCTGGAAGCTCAGCCAGAATTAACAGCTACTGCCTTGGGATGGGATGAATGTGAACGGATTTTGAGTCATTACCATTCAGCAAAGCATCTTGTTCTTGCTGCATTGTCCTGAGCAGGGATGGACCATCACAGGAGAGCCAGGGCAGGAGCTGAATCCACTGCTCTAAGTCTTTATAGAGGATTTGCTGAGACTCACACGAGCTCCCTGACAGACCAGGCTGAGGCATTAACTCAGGTGCAAATCCTGCTGAATGATTCAAACCCAGCCCTCCAGAAATGACATATGTCACCTGAAGAGCTGCTATATTAAGCAGAGTGTGTTTAACTGCAGCAATCACTTAATGCTTCACACACATTTCAAGAGAGTCGTGCTGGGCAGATTGGCTACGTGCTGTGTCAGAGGTGTTTTTAATTCATCTTTGCTCATTCTCTGCACTACTCTGCACTACAAATCACTGGCAGAGCTCAAAACTTGAGAGCAATGTCAGAGAAAAACATTTCCTTACCTTCCCAGCACCACTTTCACCACTCACAATGATGGACTGGTTCACCGGGTCCATCTGCTTTTGGACATTCCTGTAGGTTTGCTCAGCCACTGCAAAGATGTGAGGTTTTAAATCCTGGCAGTAAAAGAGAATATTCATATTTAAGAGTACAGTAACCACACAGTTCAACAGCAATGGATAACAAGGGTCATCTCACATTTACCTGAAAACAGAACTGTTCTTTTAACAGAGCTAGTATTTCACTAGAAACGGGGTTTATCCTGTGGGAGTATTTTGCTCAGATAACCTTGGAGCAGTGTGACACCTAGGCTCTGCAGAAGGACAGTGATCTCAAACAGAAGGGTTACCTGAGGACAAAGTGCAACGTGGTACTCCCTCATGAGCTCAGGTGAGTAGAGGCAGGAGAAAGGCTGGAAAGGATTTAAAGCCACCAGGCTGCAGCCAGCGTTTGTATAGAACAGGTTGACTCTGTATCTTGCTTGAAGACATTTCAGAACTGAAAAGCAACACCTTCTGTCAGTATCTTTTGCAAAGTGTGTTTGACTTTTGCTGTGCCTGTTTGTAACAAAAATCAGGTGTGCTACTTATCAGGTTAATAGAGAATGAGGTGAGCAAGAGAGTGATGTAGGGGTAACATACATAACTCCTGTGTTCATGGTGGTAATGCAGTGAGAGCAGGAGCTGCCAGTGTCAGTGACCAGCAGGGAAAGGGATCCCTCAGCAGACATTCCCTGGCTGCTCACCTGTCCTGGTTGTCACCGGATTCACTTTTGTGAGGTCGTCAAAAAGATGCAGTTTCTCTTCATCACCAAGGAAGGCTATAACTTCTTCTTCAAATGATTCACTGAGGTCATTCTGGATGAGAGAATCTTCCCTTTGGCCATTTTCCTGGAGGGGATGTCAGATCACCACCAGTGAAAGGTCAAAAGCTGGACTTTCACCCCATTCCCTGTTCTAGCTCCTCTGCTGCTTCCATGTCACCGAAATTCGGCCTCAGCAGGAGCCAGACCTCAGCATGTGTGAGCTGCTCCTCCTCCCAGCTGCCCTCCTCCTGCTCTGATGTTTGAAAAGTGTTCTGGCTGTGGGCAAAGGCACCCAGAGAACGTGGCCTTGGGCTCACACTGCAGTTCTGCACAGACACACACCAAGTTCTTGCAACTGGCTCATTTCTAAGCCTCTGCATGTCATGCCTTCAATCCAAGCAGTGCCCTGGGCTGAGGGAAGCAGGAAGGGCTGGCTGCAGGTACAGCTGGAAGCCCCAGCAGGCCAAAAATGCAGCTTTCCTAGCAGAGACTCTCATTTTCAGGGTGAATGCTGCAGAGAGCACACATCACAGCCAGGGTAGAGGAATGGTGATGGGGGGAGAGCTGCCCTGCATTAGCTGAAGTTTTGTCCCCTTTGAATCACTGAAAATAATCAAATCTCAGCCTCAGGGTTCCCATGTCCTTGACAGCATTATCTGGAAGGACACACTTGTTGTATGTAATGGAAAACCAGCCAGAAGAGAGATTCCAGCACCTGTTAGCCATTTCTGGGGAAAGGAGAGGCTGGATAAGAAAATGAGGAATGGAAAAGTTTCCAGTCCTGATTTTTGCACTCTATACACTCCTCTTCTGATCTCCTTCTCTTTGACAGAAAGTTCTCCAAACTATCCCTACTTACCTGTCCCACAAGTTAACTTATGAACAACATCACCTTGTTTGTACAGAAAATGCTAAATTTAGTTAGCAGCATTCCCACTATGTGAGCTGAGCTCATTAATATGGGGAAATGCAGTGCAAACCCCATTTAGCATGTTCCTAAGGAAAAAAAAAAGCTACAATAGTGTACTCATTTAGGAGCATTTTTATCTTTTGCAGACAGCATAAGTAATTCATTTCCAGTAATACAGAATTTTACACAGTAAGGGGAAAAATAAAAAGCTTAGCAATGCAGTAAAGCACTGCCATCCAAGTGATTTCTGTTATTCTCCTCTGAATGAGCATTAAGCAGCTTGCTGCTGTCAGAGAACAGACACCACAATTAGGAAACACTCCATGGACCTGAGGAGTTCCTGCCAATTCCCCTTTCTCCCCGTGCCCCCCGTGTTCCTGTATTACAGCAGGCAAGTTAAATCCACTGTGAGACTGCAAGACTGAGTTCTGCTTGGTTCTGCTGCCCTGCTCAGCATCACTTCAGTTGAGTTGAGTGATGATTGCTTAGCCAAAAGTAAAAGAATATCTGAAAATAAATCCCAACTCTTGTGTCCTTTCATTTTCCTGAACAAACACCCTCAGGATGTGCTTGCTGCCTGCATTAACACCTGCCCTGTTAGAGCCCAGGGCACAACAAAGATCACTGACTGGTGTCTCTAATACAGCTCAAACCCACAGTAAATAGGTCCAGTCAATTCCTGAAGCAGGGATGAATATTCATTAGTGTTACCTAATCTTGACTGCATGGAAATAAGCCAAGAATTCTCTCCTGGCAGTAAAATTTAATTAGCACGCACAGTTCCTGCTTTTCTTTTTACCTGCTTTGGCATCTTGTCCAGGCCTGTGGATGGGAAGACTGGAGAGGGCCTTTCCTTTAGGGTACTTCATTCAAATCACACTGGAGAATGCTTAAATAAAGAAAATAAAAAGGTATTTAGATAAAAGTAACTCTGGGGATGTCATTCTGCAGAGGGTTCCACAAGCAAATTCCAAAGAATCCAGATAAAATTACTGATCCCGGTGTGGCCCAAGTAACATTGGAGCTGGAAATCCTACCCAGAGTGATGGTCACCTTCTGCTGCCCCTGTAAATAAAGCTTTTTTGGAGGGAATCATGTATCTGCCATTCCATCAGGAATAAAGTGCTTTGCTTCTCTTTAATAAAACAAGTTTTCTTGGCAAGAAACTGCAACCACTTGTTAAATCCCTTCTGTCTGGAGAAACAGGACAGATCTGAGGGTCTGACGGTGCCAGAGAAGCCAGAGCTTTGGGAAGGGGAGTGACTCAGAAAAGTTTGTGTTGTCCCCTTCCTGTTTCCTCTGCAAATTTCTGGGAGCCAACCCAAGGTGAGTCAGGCCCTTTGAATTTCTGTGATAAACGCTGAGGTTCCAGTCACAGCCAGGAAAAATTCTGTCCTTCCTGCAGCTGAAGCTGCCACTACTTCCATTCTTTTTCTATTCTAATTCTATTCTAATTCTATTTTAATTCCATTCTAACTCTATTCCGTTCCTCTTCCTCTTCTCATTCTGTTGTTATTCCTATTCCATGCTTAATTTCCTTCTCCACTCGGCATGAAAACACCACTTGGAGTCAGTTTGGAGCCCCGGGCGCGCTCCCATCCCCAAACCCGTGTGCGATCCACCCCGCTCTCCCGGCACAGCCTTTTGTGCCGGTGCAGACCCCGGGGGACACGGGGGGGACCCGGGGGACACGGAGGGGACCCGCGGGGCTGTGGCAGCTCCCGGGCGGGACCCCAAGGGCGCCGCCGGGCGTGGTGTCCCCTCAGGGCCGCGCCGCCGGGGCTGAGGCGGGCAGGGCCCGGCG